TTTTGATACCTTGTTTACCTGTTTGTGAACATTAATAACGGAATGAGCGTCCGTTTAAGATGCATGTACTTGCGTGTGAACTCTTGTAATACATAGCATTCATGGGCAAAAACATGCCTATACAAAATCCATTGTAGCTCTTTAAGATGCCCGTTGACCTCTAATTTTATTTTCATATTTGGATAGAGTATGAATCGTAGATATGATTTCATGTCTCATTTGACCCTCAATGAACTCATGACGTCATCATAATGGCCTCTGAACTCAAAATTTATATTTGCTTATTATGACGTCAGCATATTTTTAGAACATTGATTGTATCTCTGTAAATATTGATCGATTTTCCTCCGAATTTGGATATCTTCTAGCGGAGACAATTCTCTACGAGTGCAGTGATTACGATTTTTCATTTTGACAAAGGCATCATGGCGTATTTTTGTGATTAAAGGAGGCATGTCAATTTTTCACATTTTGCGTGTATTCTCTATGGGACATGACTTTTTCTCACAACTGGATTCTACATTCCCGTTTTTCGCGAGCAATATCATCGTGATCATCATCATCATGATCATCATTGTTTATATGTCTAAATAATTTCTCTTATTCTCAAATCTATCATAAAAAGTGAAGACAGACCACCTAATTCGTCCCCATGACGAATTAAATTTCTAGTTATTTTTCAACTTTAGTAGTCAGGCATTTCCCTTTTGTTGGTGGAAACTACACCCCTTTCTCACTCACTTCCAGGACCGATCTAAGCTAGACTTTTGTACCCCAAAATAAATACATTTTTATTTTCTCAGCAGAAAAATAGTTACTTATTCCTGTGCCCTTGATTTTTCTCTTTCTTTCCTTATATATTTGTTATTGTTTTACTCTTGCTAATCTATCTCTCTTTCCTTATATATTTTTCATATAATTTTTTTTTCTTTCTTTCTTTTATTTTGTTCCCTTATGCATTTCTTTGTTTTTACTGCCTTCATCTTTTCTCTATTACTCCTTATGTATCTATTTTGTTTTTCTCTTTCTTTCCTTATATATTTAAAAATGTTTTTCTGTTGTTTCTCTATCTCTCTTGCCTTATGTATTTTTCCCTGTGCATTCTCTTTATGTCTTCTCTTTCCTAATATATTTCTTGGTTTAATTTCCCCCTTCTTTCTCCTTCTATTCTTCCTTTGTATTTCTTTATTTTTCTTTTTTTCATCTTTCCTTTTGTATTTAATTGAATTTCTTTTCTTTTGACCTTCTCTTGTATTATTTCTGTTTTTATAAATAATAATGAGCATGCGATGTAGAGTGTTGCTCATGAAGTCTGTGACAATGTCATTTATTCTTGACAGACAAAGTGCATATATTGTCAAAACTTTAATGATTAATTTCTACCGAGCGTATCACAGTGAAAATGAAACCACAATATATCTTAACAAACTGTATTTAGGCTTCAGTAAAATTAGGGTATTGAATCAGAAGGATGATATTTTTTCTTCAATTTTCTTCAACATTGGTCAGTTTAGCAAACTTATTCCAGCTTTATGGCAACAGTGTATGAAAATACACTATAAAAATTCAACTGAATGCATTTGTATTACTGTAAGGTTTATCGCTTGTTTAATTCTGTACAACACAAGTGAATGACATTGTTTGTAAAGGTTGGACTCAATTTTTTCAGGTCATATATAGTAACTGACTACTGGACATGAGACTATCTTCCCCATGAAGAAAACGGACTTAGCGTTGGTCGATTCCTTTTGTTTGAAATTTGATATACTGTAAATTTTCCATTTTTATTCATTTCTTAAGCATATTCAGCATGATTTTTACAGAAATCATAAAAACACTAATAATGTCTGTCCATTAGGAGGAATTCCCGGTGTTTTGAGATATAGTTGTTTTCCCAGCTTGTAATAGACACATTACATAGGTATGCACTAAATTATTTCTAAACAACTTTAATTATGGAAGCAAGCTTTAACTGATGTGTATATTATTAGTACCTAGTACATTCAATATTAATGATTTAGTAATAAAACTTCTAGACTAAAAAAAGACCTATGACCTTCATCATAGGCCTATGCACTATACAAACAGCCTTAAATTAGTATTTTAATGATAAATAAAGACCACAATATTAAAATAAGCCAGTTTGTCCAAGATCGGCAAGATTAAAGCAAATTACACATGAACTGATTCAGTTGAAATTCAAGTGTGTCTAAGATTGACATTGATTTGACTAATAATCAAAATTCAACCTTTTCCAAGTTTGATTGATAGTAAAAATATGTCATATAGTTTTTTAAGAGTCATTTTTAATAGAGGCTTGAAATTACCAAACTGAACCATAGCAACAAACCTCCTGACTTAGGGGTCTCGTGCATTTGAAATTCAGAGTTATGAATACCTGGCTTTAATACATTAATAGCAAATGTATATTTATTGGTATTATGAATTTCAGTGTCAGTAGGAGTAGTACTTATCAATGCCAACAGGTTGGAAGCCCTATAAAGAATACATAAGGAATTAAAAAAATAAAAACTTTTACTAAATCATCCTCTTGCTAGAAACTTTGGTTTGTTCTTTTTCTCAATAGACGAGAATTAAATTTGAAAATAAAATCTATTCAATCATTTTTGTTGAGAATGTTATTATGAATACAACTATGTAATCAATGGAATTTGGCTTAAATGTTAGAATACAGTCAAAAATTAGTGAGTAAAACATATGGATGTATAGACGTGATGCTTAAATATATTCACAAACAATGCAGGTCCAGACTCTCAAGCTTGGTGATATCTGTCCTCCCACATCAGCCTCATCACATCTCCTAGCAGAAGCGCTGTGTTCTATGCCCATCCTGACTGATCTGACACTTGGAGGGGTTCTCCATGAGGAGTTCTTCTTTGTATTGGAAGCAAAGGCATCATCCATACAGGTATGTGTGTCCTAATGTAAATGTCATGGAGGTTCATTGATCAACAGAAACAGCAGTAATAGTTACATGGTGCACATGCATGTATACACCAGTTTGTGTTTTTTTTCCTTTTCCAATCACCCTTTGGAACAGTCATGAAACATGGAATAAAGCAAACTACACATGTACTGATTCAGTTGAAATTCAAGTGTGTCTAAGATTGACATTGATTTGACTAATAATCAAAATTCAACCTTTTCCAAGTTTGATTGATAGTAAAAATATGTCATATAGTTTTTTAAGAGTCATTTTTAATAGAGGCTTGAAATTACCAAACTGAACCATAGCAACAAACCTCCTGACTTAGGGGTCTCGTGCATTTGAAATTCAGAGTTATGAATACCTGGCTTTAATACATTAATAGCAAATGTATATTTATTGGTATTATGAATTTCAGTGTCAGTAGGAGTAGTACTTATCAATGCCAACAGGTTGGAAGCCCTATAAAGAATACATAAGGAATTAAAAAAATAAAAACTTTTACTAAATCATCCTCTTGCTAGAAACTTTGGTTTGTTCTTTTTCTCAATAGACGAGAATTAAATTTGAAAATAAAATCTATTCAATCATTTTTGTTGAGAATGTTATTATGAATACAACTATGTAATCAATGGAATTTGGCTTAAATGTTAGAATACAGTCAAAAATTAGTGAGTAAAACATATGGATGTATAGACGTGAAGTCACGTGATGCTTAAATATATTCACAAACAATGCAGGTCCAGACTCTCAAGCTTGGTGATATCTGTCCTCCCACATCAGCCTCATCACATCTCCTAGCAGAAGCGCTGTGTTCTATGCCCATCCTGACTGATCCGACACTTGGAGGGGTTCTCCATGAGGAGTTCTTCTTTGTATTGGAAGCAAAGGCATCATCCATACAGGTATGTGTGTCCTAATGTAAATGTCATGGAGGTTCATTGATCAACAGAAACAGCAGTAATAGTTACATGGTGCACATGCATGTATACACCAGTTTGTGTTTTTTTTCCTTTTCCAATCACCCTTTGGAACAGTCATGAAACATGGAATAAAGCAAACTACACGTGTACTGATTTAGTTGAAATTCAAGTGTGTCTAAAATTGACATTGATTTGACTAATAATGAAAATTTAACCATTTCCAAGTTTGATTGATAGTAAAAATATGCCATATAGTTTTTTAAGAGCCATTTTTTATAGAGGCTTGAATTTACCTAAATGAACCATAGCAACAAACCTTTTGACTTAGGGATCTTGTGCATATGAAATCCAGATTCATGAATACCTTCAATACATTGTAGTGACTTGACCTTTGGAGAACTTTGCATTTGTAAATATTATTGTCTTGTCTTTATTGTGTGGCTTGAAGTCTAGCCTTTTATTCCATTGTCACTCATTTCTTTAGTGACACCTGTTGCATTACTAGAGTGCCACAAATACTTACTCTGGCAAGCACATTCCATACCCTATGGGTTGGGATGTGCAACCACCTAATGTACTGGTATAACTTATACTGTACAGGGACATTACACTTGCTTGCTTTATTTGCCACACCTATATTGATCACTTCTCCTGAGCTGTTCATATAGAGCACACCTATTCTGGAGAGTCGATCGATCAACAGCAAAGCTAATTCAGCTTCATCTTAATTCTTGTCCTATTTCTTCGCTTGTTTCTCTACTCGGTTCTGAGGCCTTATTACTTTATAGAGATTATAAGTTTCTTCTTCTTTACTTAATTCGCGAAGAAGCGTCATTACTTTGTACATGGTCTTACATATTCTTTCTACGGGTGCTGTGCAATATTTGAACTACTACTTGTGATATAATATATGTTCCAAGTATCTGTACTCAACAGGTGTTTCTACGAGACAAGGTAGGAAAGAAATCTATTTCTATTTCTTTTATTTAGGTGATTAAATTCCCTAAAACATTAACAGCAAATATATATGTATTGGTATGGTATTATGAATTTCAGTGTAAGTAGGAGTAGGACTTATCCATGCAAACAGGTTGGAAGCCCTATAAAGAATGCATAAGGAATTTTTAAAAAAATTGCCTTTACTAAATAATCCTTTCAATAGAAACCTTAGTGTGTTCTTTTTCTCAATAGACAAGAATTGAATTAGAAAATACAATCTATTCAATCGTTTTGTTGAGAATGTTATTATGAATACAACTATGTAATTTGAGGAATTTGTATATGTCACGTGCGATAGCTCGCTTGTATTAGCTCACTAATCTAGAATAGGCTACTTAACCAACCTGAATAATACTACCAAAGGATTCCAGAAATATAGGTTGAATGAAACATTTAATGTAACTCAAATCAAGGAGGATATTAGAAATATCCTTGCTCAAATAGAACACATCATATTATTGTCGTTTACAAAATAATAATTATCTGTAAATAGGATACTGGCATTCAATGAAGCTTAAATAAATGTTTGTCTTCTCTGAGTTCATTTAACATTGATACTTCGATGAAACTATATGCGACGACTGCAACGACGAACGTGTGTTGACCAGTAGCGACGGCGAGTGATTGCCTTGTACAGTGGAAAGCTAGAGATGCGCTCCGTTGATCTGGTTGAAGGTAACCCTTGAATGACCTTGAAACACCCGACTCTGTCCTAGCCGAGGTTGCCCGAGTATACGTAGTCCGAGGTTGACTATACGTATGGCCGAGGTTGACCCGTAGGTTGACCGCCGTCTAAATTAATAAAAGACCGGAATCTTAATAGCATAGGTCCTAAAATTAACACAAAAATGCACAATACCACTTGTATTACATCGGTTTCCAACATTAGCAAAAGTGTCCATATTTTAAAGGACTCAGCCACACACAAAATACATATCATTCGAATATAAAACAGCTTCATATCTATCCTCTTTAAATGTCCATATTTTAAAGGACTCAGCCAAACAAAATACATATCATTCGGTAATAAAACAACTTCACATTATCCTCTCTAAATGACCATAACAATGACTGTTTAAGCATATAAAAATGACCTGTTTACTTGCAATGATGTATAAAAATGTACTTACAATTCAGCATTGAGAAGAGGGAAGAACAGTCTCAGCATGCACTTGGTTGCATGGCACCACACCACACCGATTTCTTTCCTTGGAAATACCCCCCAAAACTGTAACACAGACCTCTCTCTTCAAGATCAATTATCCAAGTGAGCAGTCTGCATGTGCATTTTTACTAGCACACACAAATGAAAATGTGTCATACAAAGAGTCTGCAATTCTATACACCTGACAGAACCTAGATATTGTGTACACTTGAATACACTTAGCTATTCATCTAGTGAAGTGGAAATCTACATTAAGCACCTGTTCATAACTGGGCTCACAAAAGAACATCTAATTTGCATACGATCCTTGTATAATTTACATGGGCTCACAAAGAACATCTAATTTGCATATTATTCTTTGTATAACTTACATGGGCTCACAAAGAACATCTAATTTGCATACGATCCTTGTATAACTTACATGGGCTCACAAAGAACATCTAATTTGCATATGATCCTTGTATAACTTACATGGGCTCACAAAGAACATCTAATTTGCATATGATCCTTGTATAATTTACATGGGCTCACAAAGAACTATCTAATTTGAATAAGATCCTCACAGTATAAAATGTAAGAATACAGACAGAAATTAGTAAATATAACATATGCATGTATAGACGTGATGCTTAAATATATTGACAAACAATGCAGGTCCAGACTGTCAAGCTTGATGATCTCCTTTGTCCCACACCAGCCTCATTACATAACCTTGCAGAAGCATTGTGTTCTATGCCAAACCTGACTGACCTGACACTTGGAGGGGTTCTCAATGAGGAGTTCTACTCTGCATTGAAAGCAAAGGCATCATCCATACAGGTATGTGCATCCTAATGTACATGTCATGGAGGGTCATTGAATGACAGAAGCAGCAGTAATAGTTATATGGAGCACATGTATATACCGGTATGTGTTTATTTCCTTCTCCAATCACCCTTTGGAACAGTCACGAAACATGGAATAGGGCAAACTACACATGTACGGATTCAGTTGTAATTCAAGTGTGTCTAAGATTGACATTGGTTTGACTAATAATCAAAATTCAACCTTTTCCAAGTTTGATTGATAGTAAAAAATATGTCATATAGTTTTTTAAGAGCCATTTTTTATAGAGGCTTGAATTTACCAAACTGAACCATGGCAACAAACCTCCTGACTTTAAGGGTCTTGTGCATATGAAATCCAGAGTTATGAATACCTTTAATACATTAATAGCAAATGCATATCTATTGGTATTATACATTTCAGTGTAAGTAGGAGTAGGACTCATTAATGCAAACAGGTTGGAAGCCCTATAAAGAATACATAAGGAATTTTAAAATAAATTACCTTTACTAAATAATCCTCTCCATAGAAACTTTAGTGTATTCTTTTTCTTAGTAGACAAGAATTGAATTTGAAAATAAAATCTATTCAATCATTTTTGTTGAGAATGTTATTATGAATACAACTATGTAATTAATGGAATTTGGGTGAAATGTTAGAATACAGTCAGAAATTAGTGAGTAAAACATATGGATGAATAGACGTGATGCTTAAATAATATATTCATAAACAATGCAGGTCCAGACTGTCAAGCTTGATGGTCTCCAGTGTCTCACACCAGCCTCATTACCTCTCCTAGTAGAAGCACTGTGTTCTATGCCCAACCTGACTTACCTGACACTTGGTGAGCTTCTCCATGAGGAGTTCTACTCTACATTGAAAGCAAAGGCATCATCCATACAGGTATGTGTGTCCTAATGTACATGTCATGGAGGGTCATTGCAAGAAAGAAATGGCAGTAATAGTTGTAAAGTGCACATGTATATATGTTTTTTTCTCCAAACACCCTTTTTAAAAGGCCATTCACTTGGTATATTGGAACAATGGATTAAAGCAAACTACACATGTACTGATTCAGTTGAAATTCAAATGTGTGAAAGCATTGTTTACCCATCCATGAAAGAACCTGCATTCATTCAGCAGATGTATTCGATTTATTGTATTATTACCAACGCTCCTTCTCCCCCTTTTCTTTTCTTCTCTTCTCTGCAAGTCGCCCTTTTTTATTTTTATTTTTATTGTAATGCCTCCGTTACGAAGTAGCCGGAGGCATTATGTTTTCGGGTTGTCCGTCCGTCCGTACGTCCCACTCTCGTTATCACGTTATCTCAAGAACCGTCTGATGGATTCCTACCAAACTTTGGTCATGTATGTAACTTGCAGAGCCAATGAATTGATTAGATTTTGGGGTTACGATATCAAAGGTCAAAGGTCACAGGACTCATTATATATGCAAAAAAAGCTTGTGATCGCGTTATCTCAAGAACTGATTGATGGATTCCTGCCGTACTTAGGTCATGTATGTATCTTGCAGAGCCAATTAATTGATTATAGTTTGGGGTCATAAGGTTAAAGGTCAAAGGTCACGGCTCAATATGTATGCAAAAATAGCTTGTGATCACATTATCATAAGAACAGATGGACAGATTACCATGAAAGTCAGGACATGTATGTATCTTGCTGAGGCAATGAACTGATTAGATTTTGGGGTCATGAGGTCAAGGTCACCGTCAAAGGTCATGGGGCTCATTATATATGCAAAAATAGCTTTTGATCCCGTTATCATTAGAACCGATGGATGTATTACGATCAAAATCAGACATGTGTGTCTTGAGTTCTACTCTACATTGAAAGCAAAGACATCATCCATGCAGGTATACATATGGGCTGTTGTGGGCTGCTATTCAAGAACAATATAGTAGGGATATACTAATGTCTTAGAAAGCTTTTTTCCACCTCATTTTCACCTTCTGTAAGTTGCCCTTTTCTGTTATTTCCCCCTTCTCCTCCACACCTGTTTTAGATAATTGTTAAAAAAAAGCAACTTTCAATTGATATTTCTACATTGTGCTAAAGTATGATTTAAGTTTATTGAATTGAAAAAGTTCTTCCGTGGGAACCCCTCCACATACCACCACCCCCTGTTCCCTTGAGGAAAGCCCCGTCATCCCTAGTCAACATCCCTTAATTGACCTGGGGCAACATGTAATTGTCATGGGAGTAGTTGTGTTGGGGGAGTTATTGTCTAGGGGGTAATTGTCCCGAGGCTCATTGTCCTTGCATTACTGTTTAGAAGTAGTTATTTTCGCGAGGATTCACTATTGTGAATTCCACAAATCACTGTTTGCAAGTTTAACAACATGCAAAATATTTCCAGCAAGTAATTTGGCGTGCCAAATTCACTAAAATAAGCCCAATCGCATGTCATATATGGCAGATATGCACTATAGCATGAGCCGCCACAACAGGGGTGGCGGAGCATCTTCCAAAGTGGGAGGGGGGAACAAAAAAAGGCACTCTCTGGGGAAATCTCAAAGCAAAACTATTCTATTTTCAGACATTGGTATATACCCCTATATTGTGATTAAATTATCAGGGAAGATTTCAATATATGCTTCTCTCTTTACCATAGTACAAGATACTGCTAAGAATCATACTTTGCAGTTGGGTGTGATGGTCTGAATATTCATTTGAAATTTTGACATTTGTGAGGTCGCAGTGCGAAAAATTACATCTTGTAAAGAGGAAAAAACAATCCTGATGGGGTTATAAGAACAATCTCATCATGAAAGACTGAAAAGACCTGTGATAAGAAACATACGGTGCCCTTAGTTGCTTTAAATTACGGGCACATTTTATGGTGAAAGGCAAAGGGGACACTTATCAAAAGGGATAAAGACATTTATTAGAAAAGGAAAGGAGCACGTCTCAAAGTAAAAGGGTCATTATCAGAGATGAAAATGTGGCACTTCTCGCACCTGAAAAGTGGCACTCACCAGAGATCGAAAAAGGCACTTATGAGAATATAAAATGGGCACTTATTTATATTATATAGGAAAAGGGGCATTTGTTGAAAGAAAAGGGGCATCTATCAGATTTCAATAAGGGCAATTATGAGAGGTGAAGTGGGCTCTTATGAGAATGGTAAATGGACACTTATTGCAAAGAAAAAAGGGAACTTGTCGAAAGAAAAAGGGCAGGTGTCAAAATAAAAGGGGCACTTATCTGAGATGAATAGGGCACTTATTAAAAGGTGGAAGTGGCACTTCTTACAAAGAAAAAAAAAGACACTTTTCCTATGTAAAAACTGGCATTTTGGGGATACCCCCCTCCCCGCCACATTCATTCATCCCGAAGGGTCTCGTGTAAGATGATGATTGTGATTTATCTACTGCGCAACATTTTTCTTACTCTACCTTTTTCTAATTTTCCATACTTTATTTTAGCTCTTGAGTGTATATTCCCAAGAAAATAGATTATATGCAAGAATGAAATAGATCCACTTACTTGAAACTAATACAAAGTTTACAAGCAATGTTGGTATTATATGTTACAGGGTTGTTTTCCTCAGATCAGGAAGGGAAACTTCAGGTTGAATGATGTTACTCAAGATGACTTGAACTCATTTCTTCACAACCTCTCAAGGTCAGTAAAGTATACCGGTATGTGATTTAAAAAATATATAAAACTCAGATAACAGCATTTAGACTTTGCATGAAAAGTGTGATATAGAAAAAAAGGGCCTCTAATGGAATATTAAGGAAAGCTACAATGCTGATACCCCTGCAATATTGTGATACTGTTTACCTTAAAAAATTGATGATTTCTTGTCTGAGATATCTAAATATTTAGTAACAGCTTTATTAAACAAATTCCCTACTGTAAAGTGGAATCACTCAACTTAAAATTGTTGAATTTTTGTGTTGGGGGGGGGGGGGGGGAGGGACTACAGTCTCTTCTATTTCTCTTTTCTTCTTCTTCATGACTGATCAAAATGTTTCTTGAGTGGTTTCAATAAGACCAATAGTTGTTCATTTCTTATTTCTCATCTGGCAAACAGATAGTAAGAAAAAAGTCTATTTTCTTATAGCTAAGGCGACTTGGACAACTCAAACAATACTCAGTTTCCTATCATTCCTTACAGTCCTTATTTCAGGTACGTTTCTACCTACCATGCCACTATGTCAAGTTCTGCTCCATCTCCTAACCCTCCAGTCTCGAGACATCATCAACCTGCCATGTCTGCAGGGTACCTTTCACCAACACAGTATCCACAGCCGGTTCCTGAGAGCACAGGTGCGACACATACCATCATGCCTTGGTCAAGTCAGGATCGCGACACTCAATCCTACCATGCCTCTACACCCAGCACTGCTTTGTTGTCTAACCCTCCAGTCTCTGGATATCATCAACCTGCCATGCCGAGATGGCACATGTCAGATACACCATTTCAACCAATGATTGAAGAGCGGTCAGGATCTAGCCAACCTCAGCCTAGTCAGATTTCCTCCACTACAGGATTCCATTCAGCTTCCCGTTATCCACCAAATGTATGGGAAAGAACAAGTAGACCAGGGTCTTCCAGTCAGGTTTCACATTCCACTAACTTTTTGTCCCCAATCCAAAGTACAAGCAGTACTGGTAGAGACCACCCTAAACAGCAGCCCATGGCCGACGTAAACTATCCAAGAAGGACATTACCACCACCAGAACACCCTCAACAGCAACCCATGGGTGATGTACACCCTTCAAGAAGGACATTACCACCATCAGACCACTGTCAACAGCAACCAATTGGTGATGTACACTATCCAAGTACATTACCACCATCAAACCACCGTCAACAACAACCCATGGGTGTTGTACACTATCCAAGAAGGACATTACCACCATCAGACCACCCTCAACAGCAACCCATGGGTGTTGTACACTATCCAAGAAGGACATTACCACCATCAGACCACCCTCAACAACAACCAATTCGTGATGTACACTATCAGAGAAGGACATTACCACCATCAGACCACCCTCAACAGCATCACATGGGTGATGTACACTATCCAAGAAGGGCATTTCCACCGCCAGACCACTCTCAACAGCAACCCACGGGTAATGTTACTGATGTACACTATCCAAGAAGGACATTACCACCATCGGACCACCCTCAACAGCATCACATGGGTGATGTACACTCTCCAAGAAGGACATTACTACCATCAGACCACCCTCAACAGCATGTTGGCAATACACCAGATAGTGTATTTCAATTCTCTCAGACACACAGAGGAGGTAGCAGTAGCTTGAGCAGGCCTTACAAGAGGCAAGCTACTTGTACTCAGTCAAGAGTTCCACAGGATTATCCTGAAATTTCAGAGAAACGATCAAAGTATGAAGTCTAGTTGCTATGGTATTGGTAGAGTAAGACAGTGTCCCACTGGTAACACTTTATCTTGACTTTGTGTTTGATACAGGGCTCCACACTAAGTTTGTTTGGAAAATAGGTTCAAACTTAACTTTTTCCACTCTGTATGCATTGGCTCTATGTAAAAACATCTGGGGGTCCGGACCTAGATTTCGGGCGTCCATGTGTCTCGGCTAGCCTGTTAGTTCCAAGTCTTGGGACCCATTTCATGAAGCCTTTTTCAATGACAAATGACCAAAATCAGTTACAAATCTGCTGATAATTAACCAATCAGAAGCAAGGATTTCACTAGCTTATTAGTAAAAACTGTCATTTGTCTTTGACGACAAGTTTTATGAAATGAGGCCCTGGTGTTAGAATAACCATTTGAAGAGAAAGGGATCGTAATATTGTCATGTTTTGTGAATGTGTACTTAATAAGCCCAAAACAGAGTTGCATCAAGAGCCCATTGTGTACCTGTTTTATGCAGAAAGGGGTCATGTTGTGTGGAAATGTTTTCTGAAAATACTCTAAATAGGGGATCATTTTTTCTCAACCATGCATTATGCCTGTCAATAGAAGGTGACACGGCCAGCAACTAGTTGTTATAATGATAATAACGGTGGCTTCTGATATAGTGATGCCGTCAAGCCATGACGCACCTTGCGCTCTAACATTATTACCGTGGTCCTAGGCGGCCTCCAAATATGTCATGTTTTGGCATATCGGGTGCCAATTTATACCTGGGTGGAGAGTGGCAAATGTTGATTAATGCCTTGTCAAGGATGTTAGTGCATTAGACAGTTTATGTAGTGCATGTACCAAGTATATGTGTATTGTAGACTTTTACCATTTTGTTTTAGTGATTTGCATGCAATGTATGACAATACCACTATGTATACCAGTATGTAATTGTTCAAATCATCTTATCGAAATGTCACTGTATTTGTCGATGTCATTGCTCATGTTCAATAAAAAATATAATTAAGTAGAATCTAAATCAACTTGTGAATTTGTGACCAGAAATGACCCAGATGTTAAGAGCCATATTGCTCTGGTTATCTTGTCTATGAACTTGATAGAACTCAATATGATAGTCAAGAACTAGCTTTGTCTGGTAAGGGTGTATGAATATAGGCCAGAGTTATCAGTGTAACATTTTGTCTGACGTGGAATATTGTTTGTAAATTAAGAACTACATCCAGTTCTAGATTTTAAAATCCATCTCAGGAAATATTTTCCTGGATTTTGTTGACATCATTCCAGTGTAAATATGCTGCTACAAGTTTAAGATACATGTCTCTTTTGTCAATTTAACATGCCCGAGTTATCAGTGTGATAGTTAATTTGAAATGGATTACTGTTTGTACATGTTTAACTACATCCACCAGTACTATATTAAATCCATTTGAGGAAATATTTTCCTGGATTTTCTTTACATCATTCCAGTGTACATGCAAATATGCTGCTATATATTTTTTACCATACATGTGTATTCTAATTGTATTTAGTACTGGATCACAATAATTTTGATGATACATATTCCAGATTATGATACATGTATATTTTGATTTTGTATATGTTTGCCATACTTGCCTTGTAAATACGTTTTATATTTTAGTAAGTTTGCATTCCTGATTGGCTTATAAGATACAATCCTAGACGCTATACTCTCATGAGAATTCCATTACCTTGCCTTTTTATCACCATCCTCTTCTGATTAAGTGATGTCATTTTCATAATCCACTCTGATTTTCGTAATAGACAATGCAAATCGCTCAGATCTGTGAGTTTATTCTGAATTATGTCATGCAAAAGGATGTACTAAACGGTCTTTCTTTCGATGATCATGAATTACTCAAGTAAAATTTGCGGTGCCTTAGATATATCAACATTTTGATGTACAAAGGAGACAAATGAATAAGCTAGGTGTAGTTTGATGATGGTGTATGTGTACTCGTAGCTGAAATGGTGTCATGCGACAATCAACATTTTGTTATATTTGCACGACCGTGCAATATAACAACCTTATTTTGCATGTTATATAACGTGTAAAAGTGAATTAGACTGCACATATCACTTCTAGTTCTCTACACAAAATATTGCAGGCATTTCATTGTTCAGTGTATCATTTATTAACCTCCAAATTCAGAATTCCCCTTTTGCCGTTATATTTCATCTTCAGCCTATGGCTTCAGTAAAATATCACATCACTCAGGAATTCTGAATTTTTCAGTTCATATATGCAAGTGCTTATGCTAATTCTTAAGTGAGGGAAGCTGATGTAAAGCATATCCTGTTTATATTAAATATGACTATGCATGTACATACAAGCATATATTCATCTTATTGAAATGCTCATTACATCTGGTTAGGGGATGTTTTTAATCTTTTTCATTCAATCTATATATACCCCTATATTATATACTGTATTGATATATTTAAGCTTGATAAGATTCAAATTTGAGTGGGAAGTTTGAATAAATTTGAAAATCAAATGAAATATGATTTATCTAACTTGTGATTATTTCGAAAAAAGGAGCAGCAAAGTATGGATAAAAGAATGAGAGATGAATGAGGAAATGACATACGAAATAGGTGTGGACATGAGGGAGATATATAGTTTATAAAACTAACCCCTTATGAATTCCGGGATTTTTGTATATTTAACCACAGTGACTGCCATTATTTGGTGTATTTCTCTTAGTCTCTCTCTCTCTCTCTCTCTCTCTCTCTCTCTCTCACACACACACATTATGTTTATGCTTGTTATGCTATTTTTGTTGTTGTCATTGAAGTATTTATATCTTGTTATTTTTTTTTAATTTCCATTCCAGTCATATCAGAAAATGATGATGTGAGAGTTGAAAGAATAGTAGTAGAGTAATCAATAACAAGATAGAAGAAGCAAAAACAAGGGGTATCCCTGTTCATCGATAGAGAGAGAGGGATATATATAGAGAGAGAGAGAGAGAGCGCGAGAGAAAAGAGAAAGAGAGAGATGGAAAGATACAGAGTTCTATCGAGATAGGGATACAGAGGAAAAAAGAGAAACACAGAGACGGAGAGGATGAGAGAGAGGGATATAGAGAAAGAGAGAGATGGACAAATACAGAGTTCTATAGAGATAGAGATACAGAGGGAAAAAGAGAAATACAGAGACGGAGAGAGATGTGAAATAAAAGGATAATAAGGTGAATTTGATTTAGCCCATTCTACTCTTCAATAAAAGTATCTTTTTGCGAAGTATTCTCAATTGCTGTAAAACACTAATTTCCCTTACCTCCTCTCTCATCCGAACTTTCTTTTCTTTTTTTCACCATTCAATATCTCTAATCTGTCATTTAGTACAAAATATACAAGATAGCCAGAACAATTGGATTATGAAAATACAAATATAACTATTGTTATTCCATACAACCCTTACATTCAATTCAGCTTTGTGTTGAAGACACACAGATAGATTCCAGCATGGATGTATAAAAATCAGCAAAACTTATCTTTTAAAGACTGTCAATACTTCTGGACCAGAAGACCACACAGCGAGGTCACTGACAGGTGGCTATCTCATTAACTCAGCTCTCAACTAACATAAGAAAAAGGGGATCATGGGGGCCAACAGGCACCGATTGGGGTAGTTTTCTATATAGAGGGAGCAAGTAGGACAGTGAGGCTTTAGAAATAAATAAACGAACTTCATCTGATATTTATCTTAGCATGAGATAATGACACAAAATGTCAATGAAACTTTCCACATTACATACACCAATGCTGAAATGTTTGAACAGTGGATCCCGTGTCAAAAAAATTCTTGGACATGAACTGCTTTCGAAAATAAATTGCCAATCGGTGCTTCATAATTATCGCACACATATGTAAATAAACAATTGGCTACTGAGAAGCTATTTGGTTGAGCCAGAGGCGGCCCTCCCGCGGGCCGGGGTGGGGGGGGGGGGCGGCAGGGGGCACAGTGATATGATACCCAATGTGCTATGAGCGGTTACATCTAAAAGCCATAGCCTTTCGCATAGCTCGCTAAATTAAAAGTAAATGGGCAAGAGACGATCCCCTGGCTAAATTTTGCCCTGAATCAAACCGGGCACGCCGATCTAATTCCTTTCCAGGTTTTGGGCATGGTAAACTGTGCTTCCCTAAATAAAAGGAGGAAACATAGTAGGCCTACCAAGGTAAAGAGTTGCCCAAGTTCTTATTCAATTGATATTTGCATCGGGGCTGTTACTTGGCTGTTATATTGTAACTATATTGTAAACCCAGGTGGAGGATTTGATCATGAATAAACATTCAAGACCGGCAGTGGGGGATCCACAATTCTCATGCAGGGGGAGGGGGCCCCGCCGGTACAAGTCCTAAATCTCTGTACCAAGCAAGAACAGAAAAGAAAGAAAGAAAGAAAGAAACTGAAAGCAGGAAAAACAGGATACCAGCCTTGCTCTTTCCTCCTCTCTTTTTTTTTGGGGGGGGGGGACGGGGGGGGGGGGGGTCGTGTCCCCTGTGCACCATGAATCCTCCCCTGACATGGTAACATTCAATCAGAGACCATATAGTTCCTACCAACATACACAATACACCTCGAATTTAATTTTGAACAATACTTATCACTGGATTGAAATTATGATACATAATCCTACAAATGAGGAATACTGAAGGAGTGAGTCAATCGTGACACCGAATGAAATATGATAAAGCTTAAGATGAGAAGACTTTATACACACTAAAGCATTGGTTTCAACAGGGATTGGTTTCAATAACCTTTGGCAGCATTGTTTGGTTGTCGGCCACGCCCTACAATGGCATCTAGCTCATTTTGTAACTGTTGGAGTCCACAAAAAACACTTTAAAGTTCAACCCCTTTGTACGCGTCTTTTAACAAAGGTCTGCAAACTTGTCCGAAAATGATATTAACCCCCCTCAAGCATGTCCAGTCCAGAATGCAGGGGACAGGAAGAGATCCTAATGTTCACATGTTTTATTCTTTAAGTTTCTAATTCATCTTCAAAGTTACGACCCAAGAAACAATGTGTTGAATGGTGTACTAGAATTAGAATTTAGTGAAGAAAACCCTTTTATTGACAAAGGAAATGCTTTGTTTTCTTCAATTCAACATGGATGTAATTGTGATAGATAATGAAATGCATAATAAATTGCGTGTTTTCCACATCCTTCAGTCAGCAACGTAGCATGGACATTAGATTGGAGAGATGTGACCAAAAAAATGGAATCAGATTACTCATAGTGTTCAAAAGTTAGTTTTTCTTTCTCTTTCATGTAGAAATATTGCTTTCTATCGACCCCCCCCCCCCCTCTCTCTCTCTCTCTCTCTGTCTTTCCTTTACTCTCTCTCTCTCTCTCTCTCTTTGCCTCTCTGTCTTCTCGCCGTCTCTCCCCCTCTCTCTCTCTCTCTTTGCTTATCTAAATTCTCGACTTTTCTCCGTTTCTCTCTCTCCCTCGCCCTCACTACCCCCTCTCACTCACGCCCCTCCCCCATATGTAACTCTCCCTCCGAATTTCATTCTACCTAACCGCCGTTTTGAGGCATCCCTTTTGGGGCCATGCATCCAACTTGATATTGCTTCGATCGATATTCCAAAATATGTAAAACAAGGGATTAATGTACATTATTAAGCGACTTAAACTTGCTTGATCTTAAATTATAGGTACATGTATTTCAATCTGTATATAAAACGTATAATTAAATCGTGTTTTTCAACTGGTTATAATTATGATACTGGATGGCAGTGTATGGGATATGGCTTGGGGGTTTACTAGTACAGGAATTAGGGTTCTACGACAATTCCCGCTGTGGACAATCACCCCCCGAAAACAAATCTGCCAATATCAAAACCAACTTATTATCATGAGGGTGGGGGATAGGGGTAATTTTCCGAGGAGGGGTGCAATGTTCCACGCGGGGTAATTGTTTACGGCCTTCTGCAAAGTAATGATATCGTGAAAGAATCTAGATTAAGCTAGTCTTTAAAAGAAATTGAAGAAACATTCGAGAGAAGCGGACACTTTTTTTTTTTTTTTTGGTCTCGAAATTTCAAAATTTGACATTTTTCTTCGTTGAGGGGGGGGGGGGGGGTAAGGTCACCTTATTTAGGTTAGCCGTGGGTATAATTTTTTTTTTTTTTTTTTTTTTTTAAATAATAAAAAAAAATTAAAAAAAATAAAACCAAAGGGGGGGGGGGGGGGGGTTTAGGTTTTTTTTAGGGGGGTTTACATACATAAAAATACCAAAGGGGGGGGTTGAACCCCCCCCCCCCCCCCCCCCCCCCCCCCCCTGCGTACGCCCCTGTATAGACCTTTACGGCCTTTACTAATGTATCAGGTGATCTGACCGGGAGATCTACAGGATATCTTACACTCCCGTAAAGATGATGATGATGATGATGATGATGATGATGATAGGTCTACACCATTATCATACGAGATATGAAGGCTGTCTACACTGTGTATCCCGCGCGAACGTAGAAGATATCTCCGCTTGGTACAAAACGCGCAGCCGGGGATTCCCCACTTCATTTGCTCAGTTTCTATTTTTGTCCCTATTCCCCGCTACCCACCCGATCGCCATCTTTCTGCTGCCAGAGACTGCACGTACTGCCGCGTCATCTCGCTTCCTAGTTCGATTCAGTGATTGATCTCACTAAATTTTAAGATCCGATCTTTCTTCAGTTGCAGTAGATTTAGATTGAAGTCTGTCGACGACGACATGCTGCCTCTGCAAACCTGATCAGACTAAAACAAGGTTAGTCTATTTCAAATAATATCCTCGTACTCGTAGGCCTACTGCACTGGCGCGCTACTGCATTTACAAATTAAATGTTAGTTGTATGATGTGGGTTGGGTGTCCGCTCACCAGCAACGCATAGTGTCCAGGGGCCAATGCTAATGCGTATTGATGGCAATTAACTCATGATCTCTACCCCCTTTATTACCTTATATACCTTATGTTTACGGGATGTAGTCTACTGGATAAATTGCGGAGATCTGCAGTCGAGTTTAATTCAGGTCTATCTTTCTTCCAAGGTCCATCTTCCTTCTCCAATATTGCAATAATTGTGATCTCATATATGTCATGAGGCCACGAGGTGGACTGACAGTGCAGTGTACACATTGCCTCAAGTTTGATGTTATTTTAATTTTTGTCTTCCTTATTTCCTTAATTGTCTAGTGTATTTCAACGAATTCTTGCACTTAAAGATAAAGATCAGTTCTGGTCATGCGATTGCATTGTGAAAGAAACGTTGTGGAATCGATCAGAAAAGGTTGATCATCTAGCATATAAGTATTGGTGTGTACTGCAAGGTTCTGGAATCACCAAAATGATAAGAAATTTGGCCCAGTCTTTTGATTTGAATTGATTTGATATGGTTTATTGATTAAAAAACATTCAAATAGCAGCCAGAGGCTGAAACAATTGAATTTACAAAAGATACATTCAAAAGCATAACATATACATATAAATGGCGATTCACAATAACAAGGATATGATCAAAGAAAAGAAGAGAAACAAGAGAAGAGATTGAAACGGATGACTAAAGGATAATTGAAGGAGAACGATCCCGTAGCAGAAGACATTAAGACAAATGTAACAGAAGATTAGAAGGACTGGTAAGATAATAACAGAGAGGGGAGAGAGAGAGAGAGGGCATAGAGAAATGAGAAAGAGAAGCTGGCGAGGAGACTACACAATAAAAGGGACAGATAAAGAGTAGGAAAGATAAATAGGCTGAAATGGAGAACTAGATATATAATCGGATAAAGTGTAATAAACTATAATACAAATATAATACCGTACAATGTAAATGCAGCATAATTTTTGAGACCAACTTAAACCGACTACAAAATTAAACAATGAATCCTAAAGCACAAACCGCAATGTCATTGATATTTTCATTATAGATATTTAAATATAAAAAGCTTTACATAATTAGGCAAAACATGGTTAATACACATGTATTTGCTTCAAGATCCATATTAAGATATATAATTATTATTGAAAATTGAATTTACAAAAAAAAAATAGCTGTTAAAAAAAGAGGAAAAATTCGGCAACAAACTAGATGTGATTAACAGAATTGCATTGTTGGATTGCTAATTTTTAAATACAGGTATATATATTATTTTTTGAAATTTGAATTGATACAATTAAACAAAACGAATGGATTATTATTATTTCAAGCTTATTTCAAATCTGAGTTTATTAGCCGTACAATGGTAGGGATAACAGATTTGCGATATGTCGTGGTTCTACACATTGGGATATTGAGTTCGTTGAGATCAGGCGTTTATAAGAATTATAAGAAACACAATCTAATAATTTACTTTAATATTAAAAAATGACAAATAAAGGTGTTTACCTAGTACCTAGTTTACCTTGGGTGTGAGGTTTATTTCCTTTGAATAGATGCTGAAAGTGAATGGAGTATTCGCATGTAGCTCGCACTCCTCGTATACTTACTCTACATATTTAGGAGTATTTACTATCGTAATTTTTACCGTATGATTATACCAAAAGTAGTCAAAACACTTTATTGCCTTTATTTTTTTTTTTTTTTTTTAGTAGAACAAGCAAATGTTCCCCTACTCCCTTTCGTTTTGCCTTTTATTTGTTCAATCATAAACTGCCTTGTTTAGTCTTTGGAATTTTTAATCAGTATTTTTCTTGCTAATCTAATCTAATCTAATCTAACTCTAGCTTTAGCTCTCGCAGCCAGCACCAGCGACATACTACTTTTAAAATGATTCTTGGTCTCCCCTAGACCGAAAATGTCTGTCTCTCTCGTTCGTTAGCCTCTTATTTGGGTAGGGTACGGTCCTCTCTTTAGAGACAGAGGCCGACCATAGGGTCTCTTGTGCAAACTTTGTGGCCAGACCTGGCCGCAAAACTTTGCCCAAAATATTCAATTTTAGCAGATGCATATAAACTTCAATATTTATGCTTTAATAGGCTTAACTACATCGGTTTCACAGTTTGACTGTATGATGCGCTTAAGGGTCTTTTTTCCAGATTTCCATCGTTGAAATAGAGCTCCATGTTGAAGGAAGATGTCATCATCCATTGACAGTAACAGTTTAATTTACAGCTACAGCTGCTAATACTGGAGAATAAATGCATCAGATATGCATCCGTTAAAATTGAGTATTTTCGGCAAAGTTTTGTGGCAAGATCTGGTCACAAAGTTGGCACAGGAGACCCCATGGTCTGCTTCTGTCTCTAAAGAGAGGAGCCGACCCTACCCAAATAAGAGGCTAACGAGCGAAAGAGAGGTCTCCCCCCTGTCAACAGCTACATGTATAATATTCTATCTACCTGTCTCAGTATCTTCTCCCGGTTCGGAGGTTGAGGTCGGAGGTTCGGAGGATTCTATCATCAGATTGCAACATCTCTCCATTTCACTCTATCTTCTGCCACTCTGGTGCACTCTTGCAGTTGGGCAATTCCACGGTAACGGAAGGACACTCAGACAAGATTTTTGAACTTCAGGTTCATACTAAAAGAAATGTTTTATTAGTATGTATTAAACTATGGGGAACAAAATGTGTTTCAGTCAAGTGGAAAGCTTCATCAACTTCACAAAGTTTGGATAAACACTAATTAACTGGAAAAACCATGTCCATTTTTATGTCCTTCCGTTACCGAGATAATTAATATGCACATTCTTAAACTACTTAACTATAATGACAATTTTTTGGGGGAGAATTAAAGGCACTTATATACAGTAGGTATTATATCTGTACTGTTTCACATCTTATACTAATAAAACAGTTCTTTTAGTATGAACCTGAAGTTCAAAAATCTTGTCTGAGTGTCCTTCCGTTACCGTGGAATTGCCCAGTTTTAGTCCAATCCAGTTCTTGGCATTCTCTTCCCAGTTGATTCTGGGTCTCCCTCTAGGTCTACTTCCTTCCACTCTTCCTTCTAATACATGTACATCCTTTGGTGCCTTTTAACATGACCAAAGTATTTGATTTTTCTCTCCTTAACTAATCCTACTAGTGCAATTTGTTTACGCCCTGCCATGTGCAATATCTCTTTGTTGGTTTTCATTCGTTTCCACAATATTTTCGTCATTCTTCTGTAGATCCACATTTCAAAAGATGTTATTCTATTTTCCATGGCCTTGTTTATTGTCCATGTTTCTGCTCCATACAAAAGGACAAACCACACATAAAGCAGGGCTCCCACTTAGCCGAGTTGTGACCTCGAGTTGTGGCGAGCTGGCGCGATCTTATGGCAAGCCGTTTTATTATTAATTGATATCAAGAAATATTTTACGTTGTAAAGCAACAGTAATTTTTGATATCAAGAATTCGATTTCGTGATATCAGGAAATCGATATCGTGATATCAAGAATTGAATTCTTGATATCAAGAATTATGTTTTAATGATAAAACTGCTTGCCATAATATAGCGCCAGCTCGCCACAACTCGAGGCTCCAACTCGGCTAAGTGGGAGCCCTGCTTAACAGTTTACTAGTCTCAACCTAAGCGCAAATTTCACCTTTCTATTTGTGAATAATCCTTTCATTGCCAGAAATGTATTCCAAGCAATTTCTATTCTTCTTTTTATTACTGCTCCGCATCTGGCATCATCTGTGATGTTTTGTCCTAAGTAGATGTTATTACTGACTTGCTCAATGATATCTCCATCGAATTTCAAACATATTCTAGGCTTATTCTCTGTTCTACTAAAAATCATTGACTTAGTTTTCTTGACATTCATGCTTAGACCAAACTCTTCACTTTTGACTAATATTAATTAATATGTAATGAAGTTTTCTTTGTGTTGGCCTCCTCCTCAAAAGTGAGGAGTTTACACTATTACAACTGTGGGTGTTAGGCAAACGACTCGTCCTCTCCCATCACAGGCTTGATCGAGTCAAGGATCTTTCGTCGTAAACTTACCAGGACCCCAATTCTAAGACGATCTCTATGTCAATTAGATTAAGCTCCTCACCCCAAAAAACCCATTGAAGACCTGTAGTTGCTGACCTCCTGCCCTATGCCGTTTGGAAGAAACTGGTTAAGGCAACTGTTTAACATATGTATACAACAAATCTACAGATTCTGCTCTCAACAAGTTCTCGCTCCAATTGCTTACATCATCTGTGCCCATCTTATTACCATCAATTATCCACTCACCCCTCCAACAACATGCCACCATGCACTCTCAAATTGCAACTTCTTTGTGGCATCTACCCAACAAGCAAGCACCTTTTTCAAACCACCAAAGTTGATAAGAACCAAAGTTATTTATGTGGATTCACGCAAGAGACAGTCACGCACATGATTAGGGAATGCCCTCTCTACTTCAATGCAAGGTTGCCGTTTATTACCAGCCTACCCATCCAGGAGAGGTTTAATTAATGTCTGCTGCACTCACAGATCTCATCTAGGGAAGATGACTGTTATCCCCGATTCTGACATTGGCCGTGTCAATCTGCACTTACATGTATATCCAAGATCTATTTAGGCTTTATTTCCATTTTTCCTTCTTCTTGTGTTTCTTTTCCAAAGACTTTCCCTGACAGTGCTATGGTCAGCCGATGCCCTGTGCTCACACACAGTTCTTCGCCAAGTTGAGGAATTCAATAAGAGAAAGAAGATTATGATGTTCATTTTGCGCGATGAAAGAAACCGGGCACATTGATTGCATGACAACTACTGTCCAAAACCTTACCCTATTATAAGCCTGTTATATGATATAGTGAATTGAAACTCTCTCAAGGATCTTTTTTCATCTTATTTTATGTACGTAATGTAGATATTTCTGAATACTTTTTTTCAGGTATTGTTGCCAAGTCATCACCATTTTCCAGAGAACTAAACTTCTGTTGAATGCGAAGGATATCTTACACCATGGATGGATTCTGCCTTCTCTATCTGCTCCTGCTCCTCTTGATGAGATCTGGTGACGTTGAAACCAATCCAGGTCCTGACACTGCTGAAAGGTATGCATATACTGGCTTACCTTGATTCATTGGGTCATCGCGTCCAGTCAGGCATGCGTTACACAACTTTTTGTGAAACAAAAGATTGTGTAAAGATGCCCGTTCAGGATGCAATCTTTCATAGATTTGCCGTAGGGTTTTCACAAAGTGTTGGACAAATTAGACCAGACCATTTATACATGAGAGGGGTTTATTTCACAAATATTAGCCTCCGACATCTTGTAAATAAAAGGGGCATGTTTTCACAAAAGGTTGCTCCACAACCCAACACGACGCGATGACCTGATGATTCAGAGTACAGGTACTGGTAAGCCAATTATATTGACTATGCTTGATATTGAAAATAAATATGATGATGATAATAATAATAATAATCATCATCATGATTATCATCATCTAATTTAGTAATAATAATAATTTAAACATTATTTTTATAGAAGAAAAACGGCCCCCAAAAAGCCACACAAATATAGCCACTCACAAAAAAAGAAGCCTTGGATATGTACATTTTGTTTTAAAAGCTTCTAAAGTGATACAAATCATTTGTTTTGTCATACATTACCTACAGTATACTCACAAAGCACTATATCTGACAATAAATAGGCTTGGCCAGCTATAATTAGCATGACAGCCATCTTGGAAAAAATGGCAAAATAGTAAATAGTAAGTAATGCCCTGCCTCCTACTTTTTTTTTAAAGTCGGAAAAGAAACACCTTATTTTGTTATTTGGCCTTATTATTATTATTCTTAAAAGTAGTAGTAATCCTTTTCTTCTTATATTATTGTTTATTACTATCACCATCATTATTATCACCATCATTATTGTATTATACTGCCAGACTCTGCTTTCTTTGGAATGATTATCCTTACCTTGCCCAGAGCCATCTATACACAGAGTTTGGCCAACCCGATTGCAGTTGGACACAATATGGTGACTACTGCTGTGTTGGGCAAGCACAAAACAATATGTGCCATGTTGTGACCCAGTGAAACCAAGGTTGCCAAACTGTTTCAAATGTTAATATCACTGTCAATGTATTTTGACATCCGCAGGCTTTTTTATTGCATGCTCGAGCACATAATAAAAATTGTTAAGTGTCTCATGATAGCTTACAGCCAATAGGATGCTCTCTAACTAATATTCTATTGTTCCCAATTGATTTATTATTCATTTTACAGTACTGTCAGTGATATGGAGTTCCTGAAGCTGGCCCATGCTATCCCTCCATCTTACTACGATGCTGTAGGGATATCTCTAGGGATCCCCTTAGCTCAGCTACAGGCAATCCTGATTCAGATGTCGAATAATTATTCTAATGCATTTTTGCGGGTATTCATGAAATGGAAAGTCAAGCAGCAACCTCCACACTCAAACAGACGACAGATTTTGGCAGACGCACTTCGAGAGATTGACTTGGGTGGCCTATCGGACAGATTACTCAATGAACCTCTAATTCCAAACAGCACAGGTAAACAGATATTAATTCTTTCTCCACCAGAAGACATATAGAAAACTGTGCATGAAACTGAAGTTTTTACCATAGAGATAGTGAGTGCTCTATTTCTATACATTTGTCACAATTTACAAAAGTGTCACATTTTATCAGGCCCTGTGCATGTTGTATAATTTACTAATTTAACTTTGTTAATCCTAGATATTTTCTGGACACCAATATAGCTCAAGTACTTTTAGTAACAGCAGAATTCAATGTTTGCCAGCTTTCTTTGTTCTTCAAACAAATTATATTTTTTTGCGTCATCCCATTATGATAACTGTAATTATGCATCCAGCCACCGAACGTGGTGCCGGAGAAAATATGTTATGGGGATGTCTGTCCATCCGTCCTACTTTTTTGCTATTGCGATATCTCAAAAACCACTTGAGGTATGAACTTCAAACTTATTGATAGTATGTATCACCATAGGCAGATAATCTTGATTAGATTTGGGTGTTAGTGGGTCAAAGAGGAAATTACAGTTATAGCCTCATAATATGTCAAGAACCACTTGAGGTATGAACTTCAAACTTGGTGTTATCATGCATCACCAAAGTGAGATGGAGTGATTAGATTTTGGGATAAGTTTCAAAGGCCAAGGGCCATGAGGGTCAAATTTAATTAATTTTTAGGGTTTTAGCCCCATTATTGAAATGTCTCAAGAACGGTTTGAGCCATGAATTTCAAATTTGGTGTTGGTATGCATCACCATACTGAGACAAACTGTTTATTTTGGGTTAAGAAAGTCAAAAAGTCGGCAAAACTACTTTAAAGCTATTTTAGTTGAAAATTATTTTAAAAAACTACAAATGGTATGCGTCACCATAGGGAGACAAGTAATCCGATGTTGGGTTGTCAGATCAACGGTCATGGGTTGTAAAGATCAATCAACATGTATATATAGGCTTTTTGTTTTCATTTTGATATTTAAAGATTGATTCGAGCCCTAATCTTAACTGAATTTAGGCAGAGCCATACTGGAGATGCAGTCATATTTGTCTTGATTTTTTCTCAAAATAATATGTGTTATTGTCAGGGAAACTCTGGATCGCTGAAATATCCTAAGTCAAACGTCTACATCTACATCATCATTTGTTTAAAAAAATTCCAGTGATATTCTTCTACAAGTACATGTATACACAAATTAGTCATATTTTTTTTAATGCCCTTAAAATTGAATAAAGTCATATAAAATCAGACAAACATGTAGGACTTTATGTCTTTGACTACATGCACCTAGTCGTATGTCACACTATTAGCCTCAAGCCTTTACAATCCTTTCAGATGTATCAAAATATGTTTATGTGCAATCATGTGAATATGGATTATGTATTTTTAGGAGTGCCATCAAGACTGCTCGAATCACAGACCAAACCTCCTTCAGCTGAATCTCAGACCAAACTACTTTCTCCTGAACTGGTTGAGCGGTGTGCAAATGATTTCAAGTTCAAGTATAGGTCAACTCTCTGTAAGATCAGAACTGATCCTCTCAATCCTGCTTCCACTGTGCAGTTTGACGACATGTATACTAATCTTGTCTTACTAGAAGAACATGGGACAAACAAGCGAGGGCTAGATTACAATGATATGCTTGATCTCAAAGTCAATGGAGAGTTCCCCAAGCGAATCATGGTTCAGGGAGAGGCAGGGGCTGGAAAAACCACATTCTGTGCTAAGATTGCCTGGGACTGGATTGAAGCAAGGCATTTCAGTCACTTTGTGTGGGTCTTGATAGTTCCTCTACGTGAATTTAAGCAACACACTATTGGCGAGATTGCAAAGTCTTATCTGGCCAAAAACAATCCAGCAACAGTTTCTCAGATTACTGAGTATATCCGGTCAAATCCTGACAAGGTATTCATCGCATTCGATGGGCTAGATGAAGTCAAAGGCAAAATCATGAAGACAAAATCTTGCGACACACAGCCTACTGATCAAATGCAATTTCAGCCATCACAGCCAAGTGTCACCTCCTCAGTGGCATGTGGAAGCTCATCTGGTGATATTGGACTTGTAGATATTCTTTGTTCAGATCAACTTGCCTCTTGCCCAGTCTTGGTGACCACTCGCCCATGGAGAGCAGTAGAGATTAGATCAGATGGTGATCTAATGAAGCTCTACACATTCATTCGTGTTGAGGGTTTCAACAGAGAGAATTTGTCAGATTACATTCACAAATACTTTCCAAAGAATGATGATAAAGCAAATCAGCTTATCCAATTCACCAGTGAGAATGATGTCATATCTGAAAACATGGCCCACTATCCTATATATGTAGCCATGTTGTGCCTTATGTGGAAAGAACTTGATGAGCAAAAACTAAAGGAAATGAAATCACTGAAATCTTTTTCACAGATATTCAAAGAAATGATTGCCTTTCTAAAAGAACATTATGCTCAGAAAATGGTGAAGAAAGTAGGCAGCCTCTCACTGGTTTCTTATTTGAACAAAATTGATGATCTGCTTGGACCGATTGCCAAGCAGGCCCTCAATGGTCTGCTAGAAAATACCTTGATTTTCGGTGAAGAAGATTTCAAAATATGCCCAGAATCCAAGGACACTGCCTGTCGGGTTGGGATTTTGTCTCAGGAGGACAGAATTACCAGTAGCATGGACATACATAAGAGGACTTCTCATATGCAATTGCCAGTCTTTTTCCCTCACAAACTGTTTCAGGAGTACATGGCTGGAGTCCACCTTGCTTCCCTGTATGAATCTGATTGTAATGAATTCAACAGGCTGATTGAGCAAGTAGTGCTGCCAAGGAAGGAGGAGTTTAGGTATCTCCTGTACTTCACTGTGTCACAAAACAAAAGTATTGCAACCCACATTCTGAACTCTATGCTTAGCTCTCGACAGTACACAGATGTACGTGGAGAGTTATCTTTCATTGTTGATGTAGCCTTTGAGAGTCAGGACCCAGATGTAGCAGCCTTGGTGAGGGACAGGGTTTCATCAAATTCAATTACACTGACCGTATCCACTAATATGACAGCACACACTGTAGCTGGTTATGCTTTCATTGGACCACATGTGGTAAGTTAATCACAGTTTGATGAACAAAATTAGTTCATCCATTTTTGTACACTTGCAAAATTTCAAGATAAAGACAATTTGAAAAGGGGCAAAAATTACTCTGAAAATTGATGTCATGCATAGCCGATACGTGTTACAGTTGGGCAGAAACCCAGCGTATTCCGAATTATGACCTGCTTTCAATTTTGATTCACTCAAAATTTTCTAAGTGAACATATACCGTGTATGGTATCATTTGAAGGGGGTACTTCTTTGCAGTCATTTTGACCCCATTGTCATCCACGCTAATGTACTACAAGCATGTCACGCATTGTAATGTGATGCATAGCAAATTCAGCATTTTCTACAATTACCTTGTGATGATTGACGTCATGACATTTTACCGAACTTGGCAGGCAGTTGTCAAGTAGGTTGATACACATGTCTCCCAAGTTTCATAGACCTAGGTATAAAGTTCGCAAATTGAGCACATGTTGAAGTTATTTAGGAATTTTCCTGAAAAGTATGGGTTTTTTTTAGAGCAATTTTTTGCAGAAGTCGGTCAGTGGTAGGGTGCATTTTTTTGGCTGAAAAGGATGTATCTGGAAGTACTATCTAAATGTAAAAAGGGTACTGATTAAGCCAAGCATGTTGGAGCTATAGCAACATAAACACATCCATTTTCAGAACTTTATAGGATGATATTCATATCAAACTTAACCATTGATGTGTGAAATTCAACAGAAAGATAAAGATGCTGTAAAAATTTCAGAAAGGACTTGAAATTACTATTAAAGTTATGGTCATTTTTCTTTTCATTGGTCAATATTTAAAGAATTTTAGTGATTCTTGAAAGAGACGATTTTGGAGTATGAAGATGGCATTTGAAGGGCCATTTGTATGTAGAAGATGAAGAGTAACTCTTACACTATCTAGAGGAGTTTGTTAGAAGTCTGTAGCATCTAGGATAGTGGAGATAGGTAGGCTGAAAGAAACACATAAAAACGGATCAGAAACAGTCAAAATGGCGCCTGGACAGTCAGTTCAGTGCACATACCGGTAATGGGATGGTAAAGAAAATGCATACAAAATCTGAAAGGAATTGGGATAGAGAAAGGGACCTAATTAGGAATAACAAGCGATGCGTGCAAAACGGATCTAATGTCAGTGGACGAGGAATTAAAATTTTAAAAATCTGAAAATGCAAATCTATACCTTTTAGATGAGATAACATTTGGGGAAAGGGAACTTCATGAATAGTTTGCACATTTTCATCCCTTCCCCAAAATATCTCTTGCCTAAATGAAGTCCCAATTCTTGGTTTATAAATGTTTAACAGGGCACAAAGAAATCTGTTTGATATTATTATTGGCCCCGTCTATAATTTGGGTTACCTGTTTTGATATGGCAACTCTTGAGACTAGATTTTTGCTCCGTATTCACCCTTTTAATTTAGTGATCGTATTCCTACTTACATTTATAAATGATTAAGATAGGATCGAGGCACCAGATGGTGTGAACTTAAATAATCTCTTTTGAAATCTGTTCGTAGACTTATACTCTTCTTTTATTTTTTTAAGGATTCTCTGTACACACATGGTAAGCTAAGATGATATTCCTACTCAGTACTGTCGCAAAAAATAGGAAATTGATATCAAATGTCATGGCAATAGTTCTTCAGCCTGTACCCTTATTTATTTCCTTTTCTTTCTTACGCTCTGTAGTTCTAGCAGCATATCTATGGAAATCCCTCATGTAAGTTATACACACATATGCCTAACATCCAAGTGAACATTTATACTCTGCATCCCATCATTTTATTCAGGTTACACTCAAGATTGACAGAAAATGTGGACCTACTATGTCACTTGATGTGGCAGAGATAATATGCTCCATGCCATCCTTGAAGGAAGTTTCTCTACAAAGTGCATTCCATCATTGTTTTTTTGAAACATTTGCAAGGAAAGGAAAAGAATCAAAGGTGAGTGGTTCATTCACAATCGTGATGTATGTGTGAGTGTTTAACTTAATTTCATTCCATTACCATCTCTTCCCTTTTCTAATGTACAGGCATTTTTCTTTTCTTTAATTCCTTTAAATGTCTCATATATATGCTGGTTCTTTTGACAGAAGAACATATATCAATGGTCTTTTCACTAAGGCTGCAGTGTTAATAAAAGCCTTTAAGTGTGAATACAACAACCGTTGAAACTGTGGAAGATCACAACGTACTTAAAGGGGAAGTCAACCTGATATTAAGTTGATTTTAATAAAATTAGAAAAATAAGAGAAATAAATTGGTGAAAGTTTGGGCAATATCTGATTAAAGATACAAAAGTTTTGAATTTGTTATGTTGTCATCAGTGGAAAACATATTTTCAACACTGTGATGTATCTTGAGAGCTGCTCTCCTATTTGCTCTGTACTAAAAATTGAGATATTTTTAATTTCCCTCAAGAAAACTTTCAATAGGAGGTCATATTGTGTTGGCATAGTGTGGTGCATGTACTCCTGTCATTACCAAATTAAATCTCACATTTTACTATAATCTTTAAGTTATTTGTCATGCGCGCCCTATCATCATCTTCAAACAGGCTTCTAGATCCTTCCAGACCATTTTGATCTTCATGTAACACCCTACTTCAAGTGATATTTTCATCAGTTTTCAAGCTTGGTCTAGGGGGCCCAGCACAAGTTCTACAGTGTGGTCCCATGCATTGAGATTCTTGCTGGACTTAGGAACAACTACACACACACATCAACTCAGTCTTCTAGTCAACTTTTCCTTATCACTCATCATGATCTATGGATATTTTATTACAAGCATCTAAATTTCTTAACCATCCAAGATAAAGTAAGACCAATCCAGTTATTTTATTTCCAGTTATTTTCCAGTTATTTTTACTGGACTTTGTCTTTGTCTTTGTAAAAGCTACACTCACAAATTCAGTTCAATTTAAGTGAGACCAAACCAGCTTTTTCTCAGTTGTTATCCTGTTTTATAGTCTCTAGCATTTTATCGAAATTTGCACCAATCTATAGTCCATCAAAATCGAGCTGTTTGTCTCTGAAACCTAGCTTCCTACATCATGCAGGAACATCACCTCTTCATCAGCTTACTTGTCCTTATGTCTTCTATGCACGTGCTTGTGAAGACATACGTCATTGAAGAAAGTGCTACACGATTTCCAGATCAGCAGGAACATCTTTTGATATTGCCTAACTTCAGCTCTCGTGATTTTAGTCGTGCAGGTGTACGCAGCCTCTGCCTTTTTCTCAGATTCCAGCAGAAGCGCAGTAACTCTCCATGTGTCCTCAACATTCGTTCCACCAGTCACCTGGCCATCTTACTACTTCTCAGTGGGCAAGTTGAGCCCAACCCAGGTCCGGACACTCCTCCTACATGCGTTATCTGCAAGTCGGATGTCTCTGTCAATGACAAAGCAATATTGTGTGACAATTGTGATGCCTGGTGTCACATCTCATGTGTAGGCATCTCGGCTTCTTCGTACAGTGTTCTCACCCGTCTTAGCAGTTTTTCGTGGATATGCTGTAAGTGTAACAGCATCAATGCAGAATTATCATCTTCCATTCTGGATGCTGACTTCACCAGTCCTAACCGCTACTCAGCTCTCCATGACGATGCAAGCGAGGTTGATGTTGCCAGTGGTCCTCAAGCCTCCACTCCCACTGACAAGGCACCACCCCTACAGTTCTCTTCACCAAGGAAAAATAGAAGGAAGGCATTGAAAGCAGTCATAATTAACTGCAATGGCCTCAAGAGTTTTACGAAACAGTCCCAATTTCAGGCCCTGATCGATCACCACAGACCTGATATCATACTTGGTTGTGAATCGAAGCTAGACGGCACCTGCCCGACATATAGCGTCTTTCCTAGCTCTTACAATGTTTTTCGAAAGGACAGAAATGAACATGGCGGAGGAGTTTTTGTAGCTGTTCAGAAACTCAGCAAGGCTGTTGCGAAATTCTCAATGGATTTTCTATCATCTTAACCAGAGCTGAAGTCAGTTGATGAAAACTGGACCTGTATCACATCACTCATCAACAAGTGCAAGGATGAATTCATCCCATCCAAGATGTCAAGAGCCAGACGCAACTTGCCATGGATCACCATTTCCCTCAAAAGGCAAATGAGGAAGCGGGATCGTTTGTTCAAGAGGGCACGAAGTCAGCCTAGTGCATCCAATTGGAAGGCCTACAGGCAGCTTCGAAACGAACTGACCAAACGTGTTCACCAAGCTCATCACAATTACGTCTGCAACATAATAGGTGAGAGCCTATATGCGAACCCCAAGGCTTTCTGGTCATATGTAAAACAGCGTCGATCTGAAAACTTTGGTATACCACCCTTGAGAAATGATAACAAGCTCCATATCTCAAACAAGGACAAGGCTGAATGTTTGAATAATTACTTTCATTATACCTTCACCAAGAGCAACGTGGATCAAGTTTGCATAAGCCGGCCCTCCCTATACAATGACATAGGGCATCTCCACATCCACCGGTCTGGTGTAGTTAAGCAACTGCTTCAACTGAATCCATCCAAAGTCAGTGGCCCAGATGAGATACATCCAAGACTTCTGAAGATGCTAGCACACGAGATAGCCCCTGCATTGTCATTTCTGTTTCAACAGAGTTACAATACCGGAGAAGTGCCTTTAGACTGGAAACGTGCACTTGTAGCCCCTATTCATAAGGCAGGAGATAAATGTTGCCCAGGTAACTGCAGACCTATATCGCTGACGTGTATCTGCAGTAAGGTGATGGAACATATTATGCTTAGCCACATTTCTAAACATCTTGCAGCTAACAACATACTCATTGATGAACAGCATGGTTTCAGACAGAATCTTTCGACAACAACATAACTTGTCACAGCTACCGATGATTGGTCATCCTCTCTTCAATCTAGAGGCCAAACTGATATCGTCTTTCTCGACTTCCAAAAAGCGTTTGATCGCGTACCACATCCACACCTTAGATCCAAACTACATTACTACGGAATCAGGGGAGACTCTCTCCGCTGGACTATGTCACTCCTAGCGAATAGACATCAAGCTGTCGTCGTCAATGGTGCTCGCTCAGCATGGATGCCTGTTACTTCAGGAGTACCGCAGGGTTCTGTCATTGGCCCCATACTTTTCCTGCTGTACATCAATGACATCAAACTCAACATCAAGTCCACAATGCGTCTATTTGCAGATGACAGTGTCATCTACCGGCGTATCGACTCTCCCTCAGACAATATACTGCAAGAAGATCTCCATGTTCTTGCAGACTGGTCTACTAAATGGCTGATGGGATTCAACATCCAGAGTTTTTCGGAACTAGAGATAGATGCCATGTGTTGCGTCTGGCCAGATGAAAGGGGCTACCTGTAGATTGATACATGTTGTGGTGCATCCGGGGGGGGGGGGGGGGGGTGGAAGCATGATGGGTATAGACATGTGCAAATCCTATTATGCATGGATATCCCAACAATAATGAAAATTCTAAATAACTTCGTAGGGCGCTTCGGGTTTTTTTTTACGTGTTGGAATTGTGCTTATTTGATGTGCGATAATGTGGTGGAGAAACGTTTACAGTGCACTCTCGTTATAAAGAACACCGATATAACAAAATTTCATTTTAAAGAAGTAAAATCTCTGGTCCCATATCTTGGATTTCCTTTGTATTCTATTGTTTTGGCAGCCCTGATATAAAGAAATTTTGTTATAAAGAAACAATTTCATGGGTCCCAAGGACTTCTTTATAACGAGACGACCAAGATGTGACTTTTGCTTTGGACTACCATCCCCCTGTTCATGAGGAAAATGATGAACAACCGAAGATTTGGGGGTATGAGTTACAGGTTAATGCTAGTGTTGGACAATAATTAAAAGATTAAGGTGTTAGCAAAACCAACAGGTACAATTACTTTGGCTACATGCAGTGTTTTTTGAAGGCATGCTGAAGGGATTTTAATGTAGGCCTACTGGTACATGTCTTGAACTGTTTTGATGTTGCACATAATTTTGTGTAATGTTCCTGTGCTTGGAGGATGACTGTTGTTGATGAAGGATTCTGGTGGTGAGAGGATGCATTACCCATACGGGAATACATCCTCTCACCTACTGATTTTGATGTTGGAAGTGAATGTTGGGATAGTGTCTGTACTCACATTGGCTGGAGTTGTTCATGGGTGAAATTGTCCGAAGTCCTCCCAAATTAGATTTGGGTAGCGTTGACGCATGCGGTTGAAGACTATCACATGAACATAACAAATGATCTTCCATGGAAAACATTTACCAAAAGTTTATATTTAATTGTAAAGTGTCAGTACAAGGTGGCAGATTTACAATGTATTCCACACACAAAAAAGACAATCGGCATGGTCCTTGTCACATACTCTGAGAAACTTTAGCGACATATTGCTGAAAGTGGAAAGGATAGGGAAGATGACTATGAGTGTACCAATGGTAGTCATGATGAGAGCAATTTATACTAAGAATCACTGATTGCTATGTGCACTCAAGTAGCCAGCAGTAACTTTTGAGATGTTGGTATTACACAATGTGTGTTATGGGTAGTTGGATTTTTTTCTTTTAAAGTCTACAAAATTATGAGAACCTTAAATAATTTTTAATTGGTAAAATGACCTTTTAAAGGAAAATGCAAGATTTTGCAACCAATGACAACAAAGCATGCCAAGTGAGTGTGTTGTTTGTAACATATTTTTTCATATGCTCTGGCCTACAACAAATTTGTCAGAGGTGCAGAGGTAAATTTATGGTGAAATACATAGTCTTACATGTATAATAGCCCCAAAGGTGAAAGTGATTTCACACGCCCTAATATTTGTTAATACACATCCATTTTTCACAAAATTATACCTATTAGGTGACAAAAAAAATGGCGGTCAAACCTTCCAGGGAGGGTCGGTCAGTCAGCATTTTTTATTGTGTTTTTGACATTAAATTTTTCCATTAAAAAACATGGAAATTATTTGTTCTCAGCTTCTCGCTCACTCACTGCACTCGCAACTTTTCATCCAATTTTTTTGTCAAAATGGCTGATTTTCCTTGTTTCCAACAAAATTTACAATGATAAAATATAGACCTAAACACCTCAAAATAACAGTAAAATACAAAGACTGACAAATGGAGGAATGAGCCGGAGAGCCAGTAAGGCCCGAAAGTAGCCCACACCTTTACAAAAATATGTATACAATGCATGATATACACAGAAAAAAGAAACACAAAAGTTGAACGCGTAAAAAAGACTCTGACAAAAACCATTACGACAAGACAAATGTGGACATGCTCTAAAGAAATTACTCATAATTACTAATCAGCTAACGTTTAAGTAGGTTTCGAAAGTGTTTTGTATTTTTTTATTCTTTGATTAGTTTAGGGAGTGAATTCGAAAGGATTAGGCCGGCTGCTTGTATATCATGATCAGAGAAAGCTTTCTTATTGAGTGTATGAGAAAGATCATTAATTTGTGTTGTTTAGTAATGGTAAGTATCAGAGCGCCTTTTGAAGTAGTCTTTGAAAGACACTGGTAAATTATTAATATAGAATGTATGCATAAATACGCCAAGTTCAAGAGTATGTCTATTACAGTATCGTGCATGCGCATTCAGTTTCAGCAGTTCCCTACGAAGAAGAAGTGTTCAAGCGATGCCCGTTATGGACAGAAATTGCTTGAAAACACTGACATCGTAAGTGAAAAAATGGTTGTATATGTGATGTAAATGTTCATTAATATCGTGTTAAGATCTCGGTGAGCACAAACATGGAGAGCTCCTAGTCAGGAATCCGCCTGACAAGCAATAGTTCATATCCTGCCCGGTTGACGTGAATTCACGCGCATGAAAATATGCTGGTAATGATGTCTGTCCTTTGTATGAGGGGACTGACCTAACAACACCTCAAGGAAATTTTGGACGGTAATAGGTAGGGTGGGGACTTGAGTAACCGGACACTTAATTTTGTGCGTTTTTTCAGAATATGTTGCCAAAAAACGTAATTTCCAAATAATCAGCATTAGAATTTCCATGCAAAATCAGGATTTATGCGAAGAAAAATAACAGCTGCGTCACCGGGTGTCTGTTTGCAACTGCACGCGATGTTTCCCCGACGCGTATTGCGCCGTTCTAATGCGCGGTGTCCGGGTACTCAACCCGTCCGGAAATACAACCTCTCATGATACCGATTTTGTGAGCACGAAAAAGAAGACTACGACAAGGTTAGGGTCATTTTGAACAGCGATATAAACAAACTGCCCAATAAACAAAATCACGTGAAAATCACGTCAATATCAAGGTATCGACTTGAGGAGAGTTACGTTCTTCAAACACCGGACATTTACGTAAATGTGTTAATACGTTTTTTGCATTAGGTAACTTAAAACACACGTACACTAAATCACGCAATTGTCACTGCAATATCACCATTATAATAACGTGATTATCCCTACCTTGGAGACCATGGTTTGTAAACCTAATACTCCCGTGTTTGTTTGGTTATGAAATTACATCTTCATACACGAAATTATCGTGTCACAGAAACACGTGAAGTGTTAGTGATAGTTTTAGTCAAAATATCTGCGTGAAATTCACGTGAATATTACGAGGCTGACTTGAGATGAATCATGTTCTTCATTCACGTGAAATTTACGTCGAAGAGGAAGTATGTAACCCTCGTTCAACCCAATAATTACGCAAATGTTACACAATAAATGAACCAAAATAATGACGTTCTCATCCCGTTTCTGAACGTCGTGTCTTGGATCTTCCATAATTACGTCAAGGCGCGCCGGAAGCAGTTTGGGATTAGAGGGGGTTGGGTGGGGGGGGGGGGGGGTTGCAAACATCCCAGAAGAGAAAGCTAGTTGCAACTGGTCCAGTTGATGAACCATTTAATGCCAACTGGTAACCCTGGAAATTGAAATGGGCTAAATGATCCAGTTGATCCAGGCCAGTTATAATTCAACTGGTCTAGCTGAGCCATTAGAACCATTTGGTAAAACTTCCAACCAGTTGAACAGCAACAATTCTTCAATACTGGTACGTCTGTATTTCCAATGTAAGGGCATTGGTAATAAGTAGACTTACATAATTGAATTAATTGAAAAAAACTCGTTTACTTGTACTTTATTGAAATTATTTTAGTTCACAGTTAATGCTTCCCTTATTCATGTTTAACTATTTATACGAAGTAGCGAAATGTCCTAATAACTGGTAATTTATATTTGTAGTATTTTCGAAATGAATTGCATATAACTAAATCATCAGTAATTAAGAAATATGCTGTAAATTCAGATAAATTGTTTAAAAAACATAGATCTGCACGCACCCCATATTCAATATGCAAATGCATTGGTGTCAGCTGGGTCAACTCGAAATATGCCAACGCTCAGTCATCAACTGGTGCAACTGGAAATATGCACACTCCAGTTATCAACTGGTGCAATGAAAATATGCCAACAGTCAGTTATCAACTGGTGAACATAGAAATATGCCAACAGTCACGGGATTATCACCACGGAACTTAAATGGTAACTGTGAAACCAATAAGACACCCAAGAATAACTCATATGTTCACACATGGAAAACACGGAATACCCAGCTTATATTAATAATCCGTTTGAGTCACGCGATCATCACCGCGGAACTCCTGGCAACTTTGACTACGATTTAAATAGGTGTTTTAAGACACCTAATCATGACTAAGTTTTCACACCTAAAAGTCACGTATGTCCAGCTTATATTAATAATCCGTTTGAGTCACGAGATCATCTCCGCGGAACTTATGGCAACTTTGACTTCCATTTAAATAGGTGTTTTAATACACCTAATAATGACTAATTTTTCACACCTAAATATCACGGATTCACAGCTTAGATTAGTAATCAGTTTTAACTACGTGATCATCACCTAGAAAGTTATGGTAAACTTTGAAACCATTTAAATAGGTGTTTTAAGACACCTAATAATGACTAATTTTTCACACCTAAAAGTCACGTATGACAAGCTTAGATCAATAATCCGTTTGAGTCACGAGATCATCACCGCGGAACATATGGCAACTTTGACTACCATTTAAAAAGGTGTTTTAAAACACTTAATAATTACTAATTTTCACACCTACATATCACGTTTTCACAGCTTAGATTAGTAATCAGCTTGAGCCACGTGATCATAACCAAGAAATTTATTGTAACTTTGAAACCTTTTAAAGAGGTGTGTAAGACACCTCAGAATTACTAGTTGAATATAACCAGAGATTCACGGACAGAACAATAAGACGATTAGCCGGTGTAAGTAACGTGATTATTACCATCAACCTTGGATAACCTGTGAAACCAATCAATAAAGGTGCTTACAAGACCAAATAAT